CGGCAGCGCCTCGATCCTGGCCCAGGTGTGGAAGGTGCCGTCGCTGTTGGGAACGATCCCGCCCCACTCCGGCCCCTGATCCAAGGTATCATCCCCCTTCATCCAGCTGACTGCGATGGTGCTGGGGTAGAATCCGTACGCGTGGCAGGACAGGATCAGCGTCCCGTGTTCCTCTTTTCCGGACAGGCCCAGGTGTGGAAGGTGCCGTCGCTGTTGGGAACGATCCCGCCCCACTCCGGCCCCTGATCCAAGGTATCATCCCCCTTCATCCAGCTGACTGCGATGGTGCTGGGGTAGAATCCGTACGCGTGGCAGGACAGGATCAGCGTCCCGTGTTCCTCTTTTCCAGACACATGGACATCAGGGGGCTCTGGAATGGGATAATGGTGGAATTCACGCATAGAGTTCCATGGGAATGGGACTGGGGTGAGATCTGCCCATGAAATTCCCCAAGAATGTGATTGGGGTGAGCTCTGCCCATGGAATTCCCACTGGAATGGGATTGGAGTGAGCTCTGCCCATGGAATTCCCACTGGAATTAGTGTTCCCAAGTCCTCCATTCCCAAATACCCACAGACTTCTGCTCCCACCTTTGCGCTCCAGCTCCCTCTGCCCGCATCTGACATATTTCTGGAGCCATTCTGGGCAGGTGTGCTTCAGGTAATTCGTCCGTGCCTCAGCCACGGTCCCGTCCCAGTGTCTCCTGGTGATCTCAGCACCACTGTCGGCTGCCACGAATCTCCCGGATTCCAGGTCAAAGGAGATGAAATCCCGCCCGTCGTAGCCATCCTGACTGAATCCACGGACGCTCCCATCGGACAGGAGGTCACAGGCATAAACTCGCAACCTCGTGTGGAGACCTGGGGGGATTATACCCACAGAGACCCATGGAATTGTGTCCCAGCCCCACAGAGCCCCATTCCAGCCCCATGGAAGCCCAGAGTCTGATGGACACCCACAGGGCCTCATTCCAGCCCCTTGGAGACCCATGGATTGGAAGGGGCTAACAGCGGGCCTGTTAGTTAAAGGAGTGAGAAGCTGAGAAGCAAGAAGAAGCTGAGAAGGAGCTCTCTCCAAGACTGCAACCAAGGAGACCAAGAGAAGTGAGGAAATTAATAAAGATAAGAAGAGAACTCTGCAGCTGGATGAAATATTTTTAGAAAGTTAGCTGAAGTCACTGTAACTTTCACCAATGGTGATATGTTGATTTATTGTGGCCAATAGTTAGGGTACAAGTAGTATAAACAATTAGGAAGTGTATAAAAGATCAGCCATGTTCAATAATAAAGAGTTGCCATCTGAGACTGCTTGTGGTCTCTGCTTT